TGGAAAGCTGAGGTGGAAGGATCGCCGGAGCCCCAGCAGGTCGAGGCTGCGGTGGCTAGGCCACTGCACTCCAGTCTGGGCGACAGAGTGAGACTCCAACTCAAAAAAATAAAAAAAGATACTACTTCTGAGGCTGGGTGTGGTAGCTCATGCTTGTAATCCCAGTACTTTAGTACTTTGGGAGGCTGAGGTGAGGTCTGGGCAACTTGATGAGTCCTCGTCTCTACAATAAAAAAAAAAAAAAATTGCTGGGTGTGGTGGTGCGCACCTGTAGTTCCTGCTCCTTGGAAAGCTGAGATGGAAGGATTGCCTAAGCCCAGTAGGTAGAGGCTGCAGTGGCCGTGCGCATGCCACTGCACTCCAGCCTGGATGACAGAGTGAGACTCTTGACTCAAAAAAAAAAAAAAGGGTGCTACTTCTGGGACAGTGGCTGCATCTAGAGACCATCGCTTGATTAGATTATGATCTTCTATAGTCATTCTGTAGGAATCATCCACCTTGGTCTTCTGAGTCCTGAGTAACCAGCTTGGCAGATAGCAGGTACTCACAAAAAAATGTTAGAGTGCCTCTTTACCCTCCCTTCCTCCCAAGTCCATGTGTCCCTAGAAAGATGTTGTTCCTCCCACGGTGATTAGCCCAGTGCAGGACTCATGTAGAACTGAATGGAGGCTTTCCTTGGGACAGAATTCGATATTAGGAGAGGGTAACTGTCTACACCTAGGCCCACGAGTCTGGGAAGTCACAGTGCCCCTCTTTCCCAGTTATACTAAGAAAATGTGCCTATGGAAGGTGCAAATGATATGGAACTACAGAGAAGTAGGGCGACAGAAGGGGAGACAGCTCCTGTATGCAACAGTATTTGAAGTCAGTTTTCCTCCAAACCTCTGAGTTATACTGGACCCATTAACATATTCAAGTCAGTTTAAGTTGGCTTTGTTACTCGCGACTAAAGAAGTCCTGACAAATGCTCCCCGCTCTGAGATGCCCAGAGTCCATCCAATGCTGCCTCCTCGGGTCTCCCTCTGGGGCTTTGTACTGTCCGGTGCCCTGGACACCCTTAGTACTGAGCTTTCGGTGGTTGCAGCAGTCTGGACAAGGAGGTCCAGGACCATTCCTTCATTCAGCCCTTCATTGACCAGACACGGCTCTACCTCTGTGTGCCAGGCCGGGGAGGGAACCGGGGCGCTGGCCCCTTAGACCCTCAAGATGTCTGAGAGGCTACGGCCGACCTGACCAGGTTCAGTGTAACCAGAGCCTAGTAGGGCATACAGCCGGACCTAGCCGAGACCGCACGAAGGATACCCGGCGACTGTGGAGACGGGACTCGGGTCAGAACGCACCGGACCTCTTGTGCGGGTAGAGGAAGGGGCGCGGGAGAGCCGGAGAAGCCAACGGTCTACACTAGCAGGGATCTCAACTCTTGCCAGGCTCGCACCCGGAAGCGTGACTTCCGGTCGGCAGCCGAGACCCACAATCCCTCGCGCCCGTCCTGGTCTCGCCTCCATACTCCTGTCCCGCCCCTTGCATAGAGTTCGCAGCCTTGGATTGGCTACTGCGGCTTTCGCTCCTCCGGTGGGCGGGGCCCTGGTTCACGCTGCTGAGCCAGGAGCCGACCGGAGGGGCGGTGGGGGTAAGTCACTGCCAAGGGCAGTCGGCATAGGGGAGGACGCAGCTGGCGTAGGCGCTCGGGAGGGCTGGAGTCAGGATGGAGGCGGACGCGACGAAGCTGCTGCCCTTCCTGGCCTTGGACGCGCGGGCAGACCTGCAGGCGGCGGCGGCACATCACGTGCTGGCACTGACAGGTTCTGGGCCGGGCCGCAAGCTGCTGGCAGAGCAGGAGGCGGTGCTGCGGGCACTGGCCGAGCTAGCTTCGGCCCCAGCCCGAGACGCTGCCCGAGACGCTGCCCGCGCTCTCGTGAACTTGGCCGCCGACCCCGGACTGCACGAGCCGTTGCTGGAGGCCATTCCTGGTCTGTCCATGCGTCTGCTGGACCGCGTGTTGGATCCACAGTGGCCCTGGGCCGAGGAGGCGGCTGCTGCGCTGGCTAATCTCAGCCGCGAGCCAGCGCCGTGTGCCGCCCTGATGGCAGAGCTGGCGGCCGCGAAGCGGGGGGATATACTCTTGGAGCGGCTGGTGAGAGCGCTGTGCTCGCCTAGCTACAACGCTCGCGCGTCCCTGCACTACCTGGCGCCGCTGCTTTCCAACCTCAGCCAGCGACCTGAGGTGCGTGCCGTTCTGCTGGATCCCAACAGGTGAAGCGCAGGGCGCACGCGCGGTCAGGGAAGGGATGGAGGTGAGCGGGGACGGCCCTGAATGATTCCTCTCTGCAGGTTCGTGATCCAGCAACTGCTACTCCTTACCCGACAACACCCAGAAAACTCAGTGCGCAGGGGCGGGGTGGTCGGGACGCTGCGGAATTGCTGCTTCGAGCACCGTGAGTGGTGTTGGGGTGGGGGAGTTGTCGGGGCTGGGGACTGGACTCTGAGGCCCCTGTGGACCAGCCCTCAGTCCTGTTTCCTCCTCATCCCCAGGACACCACGAGTGGTTGCTCGGGCCTGACGTGGACATTCTCCCGGTCTTGCTGCTGCCCCTAGCTGGGCCTGAGGATTTCTCTGAGGAGGAAACGGAACGTGAGTGGCTAGCGTGTAGCCTCAATATTGGAGGGAGAGGAGGGACGTCATTGAGGGGAGAGGGAGGAGGTGGTGTCCAGGCCCCAGGCCCCTTTTGAAACCTTCCAGCTGGGAGTTGCTGCGCACAAGTGGGGCTTACACAGGCAGAACCTGGCTCAGCTGTCCCAACTCAGGGACCCAGTGGCTCCCACACTCACTCCTAGGGCTGCCTATTGACCTGCAGTACCTGTTACCAGACAAGGAGCGAGAGCCTGATGCAGACATCCGCAAGATGCTCATTGAAGCTATCATGTTGGTGAGCAGCCATCCTGCTACAGTAAAGTCACCCCCCACCTGACACACATATGAGCATAATGATATCTGAGTAACCTCTTTCATCTCCTCAGCTGACGGCCACAGCACCAGGTAGGCAGCTAGTGCGGGACCAGGGAACTTATTTGATCCTTCGAGAGCTGCACAGCTGGGAGCCGGAGCCTGATGTGCGATTGGCTTGTGAGAAGCTCATCCAGGTGGTTGCAGGGTTGGAGAGGCTGGGGAAGGGGTGCCTGTAGCTGGTCAGCTGCTCACCTGCCTCCCTTGCTGACAGGTGCTTATTGGGGACGAGCCTGAGCATGGCATGGAAAACCTACTGGAGGTGCAGCTGCCTGAGGATTTGGACCAACAGCTACAAGAGCTCGAACAGCAGGAGCAGGAGCAGTTGGAGCGTGAGAGGCAGGAGCAGTTGGAGCGTGAGCAGCAGGAGCTGGTCCCAGAGCCATGAGAGGAGAGGAGTGCACTTACCTGAGGCCCCTGCAGTCCAATACCAGCTCCAGGCCCATCTTTGCCAGGCTTCTCAGGCCAGGCCTTCCTGTAGCTACCTGCATGCCCTCCAGGCCCTCTTGATTGGATACTATGCTCTGCAGAGTTACACTTAGGCTCCAGTCCATGCCAAAAGCCCTAGAGCAAATGTCCAATAAACTTCAGAGGGTTGAAATCACCGCCCAGCCCTGTGCCATGTTGCTATCAGCAAGAATGCAGGTTGTGCAGAGCAGTACTGTGAGCCTAAGCCGGCCAGCCCTGTAACTTTTCTGCCTCCACACCTCCATATGAGGTGGAGGTATCAGGTGGAGTCAAGAGTCTTCTCATGGCCAGTGGAGCCATGAGAAGACTCTTCCAAGGCACAAGGATGGGAGCATTGGACAGAAAAACACTATGAGCCCTGAGGAGCCAGTTGCAGCTCCCAATCCTGAGGGTACTGTAGGATCTGGGCACAGGAGGGCGCCTAAGTATAAGTAGTGCCCCTGTTGTCAGCCCCAATCCCTGGTTCCCTCAGCTCCCTCTGCCTGAGCCCTGGCCTGAAAGGGCTGACCCAACATACCGAGATCCTGAGGTCTTCCTAGGACTGCACCTCTCTGCTTGACCCGTGGCCCTGCCCTCAGCCCTTGTCACCTCTCTATGTCTTTCTATCTCCTAGTGTTGGATTGGACTAGTACTCTCCAACCCCTCCAACTAGGCATCTCCCTTCCCTACCTCTCCAGAGAGCCTCTCAGATGTACCTGCAGCCTGGCCCCCTGTCCAAGCCTCTCCCCCAACTACCATCTGCCTCCTTGGCTCCCACTATGGGCCTAGGAGCTGGATCTATTTTTCCCCTGTATCTATGTTCGTTCCTTTTGCCCCCCACTTTTGCAACTGCCAAGCCCCATGGACTGTGATGGTGGCTCTCACTCCACTGTGTTCCTCCTGAACCTCTCATCAGACCTCACCACCACCTTTTGCATTGAGCACCTGAGTAATGGCCCCTCACTGACAGGCCTTTCCAGGCTCCTAACCCTGGTGAAGGAGCTTAACTTGTCTTCCTGGGAGTTTAGAATGCCCACTCCACACTGGAGGCCCATTCTACCCTGTGTTCTCCTGCCTTGGCTGAGTGCTTCATTGGATACCCCAGGCATCTCCCTCCAGGTCCCCTCTAACCTACCACCATTAAAGCTCTGGTGTCCTAGGCAGGTGTCATGTGTGGACCAGTATTTTCCCTGACCAGGAACCCCACAAGGCAGTGGCAGAGCCTCAGCCTGCCAAGGCACACGGAGGCCATCTGCCCTCTTCTGGTACTAAGACATCTGTACTCTCCACAGAATGAATGGTTTATCTGGCCTTGCCATACCCACTGACCCACCCTCAGTCAACTGGGGAGTGCCCAGGCATGTTCCTGATGGCAGACCTGGAGCACAGTGACAGTGGCTGCCTCAACATTGGCTGCCTGGAGGTGTTTACCCCCAGACTGGCTGTGGTGGCAGTCTGGAGCCCTAGCCAGGCAGAACCTGCATCTCTTCTGGGGCTGGTCTTCAGGGGCCTGATCTCAGGGTTAGAGGCATTCTCCTTTGGGGCATCCGGCCGCTGGGGGCACCACAGCTGCAGGACCAGCCTCGGGGATTCCAAGTCCATACTGCTGGGCTTCATGTCACTTGGGGATACTAGGAATTGGGACTCCAGCTCCTTCTCTGTAAGGCACCACAGTGCAGTCAGATGGGATGCAGAGGGACCACCCGCTGCCCAACTACTCACCCCACAGGTCATAACACACCTGGTGCAACACCCAGTATGGTGTGGAAGAGAGTGTGCAATGAAGGCAGCATCCAGCCGTGAGTGACCACCTGCTACAGGCCCAGGTGTATGTGTGGGCGTGGCTGGAGCAGCCCCTGGATCAAGTCCTGGCACTCTGCAGGCAAGGGCTCATGGCAGTGGCCTCCTGCTCTCCAGTGCACCCTGCACAAGACTGCCAACAGTGCTGGCAGCTTTGAGGGGTCAGTCTTTGTGTCACTGCTGGGGCGACTGAGGCACAGGGAGCTGAGGCAGCTTGCCCTGGGCTAGTGCAGAGCTTAAGTTCTAATTCAATGGAGCCACTGCCTTTCCTGAATTCCAGGGTGAGTAAGGGTCCTTCCCTAGCCCGGCTTCCCCATCACTGCAGTTTGTGGACCAAAAGTTCGTGGAGGATGCCTGATTAGTCTATCCCCATCACTTTCTCCACCATGCAGGATGATCCTTCTTAGAGCCCAGGTCTCTCACTGTCGACTCTCTGGGCCTAGGCTCAGGCTTGAGAGGTGGTACTCACCTGGGGACAGACCTGGTTGGAAGGTGGGACCGCGGTGCATCAGGTGTACCATGCGGTGGGGCTGGCTCTCCTTGAAGGGTAGCTTCCCACTCACCATGGCGTAGAGGATGACACCTCTGGTGGCATGAGCTCCTCAGAGTGTAGCCCCTCATCCCTCCCATGGGTCCTGGCCGTGGGGTCAGGGGTGCCTGTGGGGCAGCACCCAGGCTCCACAGGTCGGCCTTCTCCCCATTGTACTTCTTGGTCTTGAGGATCTCTGGGGTCATGTAGGCCACAGAACCACAGAAGGTGCTCAGCAGCAAGTTCTTGAGCCCCATGCGGTTGGCAAAGCCAAAATCTACACAAGGCATGTGTGGAGGATAGTGCAGGGAGGGGCAAGGGTGTCAGGGAGAGTGGGCTCAGGAGGATGTTGGTCTGTAGGGATGGCTGTGGGGGTGTCTCATGGGGGCATATGGTATGCATGGGCAACAGCAAAAATACAACTGTGGGCAAGGGTGGACCTGGACTGGGAGCACACATGAGATTTAGGCCAGTGGGTTCAGGCTGCAGGTGATGGTGATCTGTAGACCTTCTGGGAGGGCTGAAGGTTGGAGCTAGATCATCGTCAAAGATAGGGGCCTGGTTGGGACAAGAGCAGAGCGTGGGCCCTCTGCAGAAGTTAAGGCTGGGGGTAGAGTTGGGGAAGGGGTGGTGGGCTCACCAGTCAGCTTTAGAAAACCTTGGTTATCCAGCAGGATGTTCTCACATTTAAGGTCCCTGCACGGAGAAGGGGAAGTGGGACTGACCTGGGCTCAAGTGAGTCTCTGTGCAGGCTGGCAGTGGGCCAAGTGTCACCCTCACTGATGCACAATGCCAGCGTTGTGGCAGTGGGCTACAGCACTAACTAGCTGCCAGAACAGTCTATGGGCCTCCTCCTCTTCCAGCCCTGGGCAGCAGCAGTGATCTGACACAGTATTGATGTGGCCCAGCAGGTCACCTCTGGCTGCCAACTTCAGCACCAGGTAGGAGCACTGGCTGCTTTGATATGTCTCGTACAGCTGCACCTGGGACCCACCCACCTACCATCACCCAGAGACAAGGCCAAGGGTGTGCTGGGATTGTCAAGGGTACTGGATATGGGTTTCAGGATGGGATTGGCTCTGGCCTAAGGGACAAAGGAAGGTACCAGGTGGGAAAAGGTGACAAGTCTGGGGTGGGCAGCAGGCAGGTGAGGACTGGCCTTGGGGATGGGGAGGATGGGGACAGGCTGTGTTGAGACCTCTGCCCACCATGTTCTGCTGCTTGTAGGTAGCATTGAGTGAGGAGATCTCACGGGGAAGGTACTTGCGGGAGAGCTCCAAGGGGGCCTCAGCTGTGGCGATGCTCTTGATAGCTACCTGTGGGGTGGAGGGTGGCTGCTGTGTGCAGACACAGCCCCTGCAGGGGCAGACTATAGCATGGCAGCCCCTTCTGTCCTTTATACACATTGCAGAACTTGGGGTTTGACTGAGTCCTTGTACGGCAGTGCTGACCTATTCCACCCCTCCTATCCCTGGCACTATGTGTTCCAGGGAAGTTGAGAACAGCAGTTGATCAGCCTGCAGGAGTCCTGGGGAGGCTTCCAGGGCCAGGGAAGGAGCCTTGGGGGAGGGAGCCAGAGCAGTTGGAAGATCCCTGAGTGTGTTTGGGACAGGGAGGTGCCTGCTAGGCCCTGGCTGGGAGCCACTGGAGTCCCTGGGAAAGAGACCCTGGGAAGGAGGTGAGCCTGCCTCACCATGATGTGATGCTTGCCCCCAAGTCGAATGACAGCTTGGGGTTGTGCTGCATGTGTTCGCGTGTGGCGTAGGCCAGGTACACCTTGGAGAAGACCCCAGAGCCAATCTTCGTAGAGGAGAGCAGGTAGCCATTGTCCTTGCACTCATGCACCTGCTCCATGAAGGTACTCTGGTCCAACTTTTGCCTGCTGCTGCCCTTCATAGAGGGCAGGGTACCACATAATGGGACTTGGTGGTCCAGCTCCACCAGTTTTGTGGGATGGGACAGCTGAGTCCTGACTTGTTTCAGAGGAGCTGGGGCAGCAGAGGACCAGGCAGCAGCCTAGTTTCTGAAGACTTGTGGGACTGGGGCAGAGGCAGGGGAGTAACAGGGGCTGAGAGCTCAGGATGGGTGGTTATCACAGCTTGGGGTGTGGGCTGACACAGCTCAGGGTAGCAGGGTAACACAGTCCTTGATTGACCTGGGGGGCCAAGTTCTGAGAAAGGAGGGGGCAGATTCTAGAATGGAAGATTCTAGAGCTGTACCTGCATTGTGCCCTCGAAGCAGGTATCCTTTTGTTGCCCAGGACCTGCCCACTCTGATGTCTGAAGATACCTGGTGGGACCAGCCCTGTCCTGTGTGGGGCCCTTTATGTGGGGTGAGAACTCACTTAAAAGGTTAGGGTCAGGGTGAGGCCTCTGTGGATCCCTCTGGACATGGCTGGCCACAACAGGCCCTTAAAGAAACTGGGATGTAGAGTGGGGGCAAAGTCAGGAGGGCCAACTTTCTAGGGCAAAAGGAAGGGAAAAGGGATACAATATATGCCAGCCATTCCAACCGCACTTTCTCTCCTTTGAGAGAGTGTCAAGGCAACAACCAGCTGAGCTCTAATACAGGCTGAGCCAGAAAAAGAGTAAGCAGGGAACCCACACCTCCTAGCCTTCTCCACTGGAGCCTAAAATCCTCTTAACCAGAACAGGCATGTCACAGAAAGCCTCCCACTTATAGTTCTCTGCAGACTTGATCATACATCCCAGGACTAGCAAGGGCCAGAGTCTGGGCCTACTTCAGAACCTTCAGCTCCAAGAAAGGCGTCAACTTCATTCCTCCTGTCTTCTGGCTCCTAGAGGCCTCTGTGAGCACTATTACTGCCACGAATAGCGGCTAACATCTACTGAGCACCAACTGTGGGCTAGATGCCATTCTAAGCAGTCACACCATCTGTAACTACCACATTCAGCAGTCCTGTCCCCTGTTCACAGAACACACTGAGGTGCCTGTTCTGTGTGGGGTAGTTCATATCTAGGACCTCAGGTCCGAACACAACCAAGCAATACCTGTTTTACAGATGACGAAATTGAGGCCTGGTGTGGCAGAACCCAGGCCCAAATGTGTGGTCTCTGCTGTGAGTTGGACAAGACAATGGCTGCAGGGCTGGAGGGTAGGGCTGCTTGATGGGCAGCCATTCCAGGAGTGTCCATATGGGTCCAGTATTTGCTAAACACTCTGGGAATGTCTGGAAACTTGGATTCTCCTCTACTGAGATCCATGGGGGAATGTGGTATACTTGCTGCAGCAAGGGCCTTGGAATGGGCTACCTTGAATTGGTAAAACACATTTTCTTATCCTTGTTGGACTACGAGTTTCTTGAGAGCAAGGCTTTTGTTTATAATCTCCTTGCTCACCCACAACCCCTGTCTGGCAAATTGCCTAGAATATAGAAAATAATAACAAACTAACTTGTTTGTGGCTGACCTAAGTGTTAGAAAAAAGAGAAACTGCTCCAGGTGATTCAAGCAGAGGGATTTAATGTGGAATCCATTACTCAAGTGTTAGAAGGGCTGGAGAAGCACAGGGGCAAGATGCAGTTAATGGAAAATGGGCATCTTCAAGAAGCTACCATCTCTAGACCTGGGGCCAGGTGGTTCCAACCAAGGGTGGCTGAGCAGCTGAGCTGCTAATCCCATGCCTGGGAGCCTGTGCCTCCAGTGGCACCCCTTCTCTCACTCCCAGCTCCCACCAGTGCCAGTACCCAATGGGAAGCCAGCAAGTGTCAAGTTGAATGAGGAAAGTAGAATCAGAATAGTCATTGGCTCCATCCACCCTCCCTTCACAGTCTTGATTAGTCTCCTCTTTGAACCCTAATTCACCATGGGGCTTCACTGGACAACCATTATATGTTGGACTTTGTGCTGAACTCTTGAGAGCAAAACACAGACTCAGGCTTTCCTCTTACAGAGCTTACCACTTTGGAGGAGATATTGGCATTATTAATGTAATCACCCAGGCAGCTTGTGTGTTTGGGGAGTGGAGATGGTCACTGTGGCTGGAAGTCTGACTGAGGCTGGGGAGGGGTCAGGACCAGTGGGCATGCTGGGAGTTGGCTATGGGAAGGCCCCCCCATGAGCTGTCCAGGTATAAGCTTAGAAAAGGCCCCCCTGTCCCCACCCCCCAACTTCCATAGCCCTGGTGGGTCCCTTCTGCCTGTGAGGGGGTGGGGCAGGGTGGGACCCTTTCTGGTCTTTCCCTGGGTCAGGGCCCCTGTCTACAGAAGCCACACTCTGGGCCCTGCCCTCTTTTGGGCACCATCCCTACAGCAGAAACAAGCTCAAGTCCCTCTAGCTGCAGAAAAAGAAGGTCCTGCTCAGCTATTGCCTGGCCCTGGTGTTTATCACAAGCCTCCACTTTGTCTTCTCACACCCTCTACCCTCCCAGGACCCCACCACAGAGTGATTTCCACATCTAACTGACACTTCAGACCTGGATGCCATGCTACTGACCACTTCCCTTTACTCAAATCGCTCGTTTTGCTTCTTAAACTTCCGGAATACCATTCACTCTCTTTTATTTTATTATTTATTTACATATGTTTTTTGAGTCATGTTGGGGTCTCACACTGTCATCCAGGCTAGAGTGCAGTGACATGATCTCAGCTCACGGCAACCTCCACCTTCTGGGCTCAGGCCATCCTTCCACTTCTGCCTCCTGAGTAGCTGGGACTATAAGTGCACACCACCACTGCTGGCTACTTTTTTGATTTTTTGTTTGCAGAGAGGAGGTCTTGCTATGTTGCCCAGACTGGTCTTAAACTTCTCGGTTCAAGCTATCCTCCCGTCTGAACTTCTCAAAGTGCTGGGATTACAAGCTTGAGCCACGGCGTCCAGCGGCACTCTTCTTTTTGATGTGAGCGCATCCGATTTCGGCCTTTGTCCCAGCTTATCCTTCCTTTCTCAGCCCCAAGGTACTGCTTCCCACTCCCCCCGCAACGCCATTCACAGTACTTCGTGTGAGCTGTAGTTTGTCTTATTGATCATTTACTCGTTTATTTGCCTCTCTACGGATTCTAAGGTCCCGAATGCAGGGGCTGATCACCTTAATCCCCGCGGTCTATTGGTAGACAAGTGCGCCTCTGACGGGCTTGGTGTGTGTAACTATGCTGGGGGGTCCGCAACAAGGGCCTCAGGTTATTTGCTGAGTGTTCGGGGTGTGTGTATATGTGTGAGAGCTACAGGGCATGACAATACTCCAGTATGTGTCCAGGACGGGCGCACCTGGCGTGTGACCCGAGACAAGTATGTGTTTGCGAGTGGACCCGCTAGCTATGGGCGCATTTGGGTGCAATGCTGCGCTGAGCCTTCCTTCTCTTGCGCTTTTGGGTCGGTGTCTGGAGGTGGGAGTCAGTCGGGGGGGGGGTGTGCGTCCACCGGGGACACGGAGCCCAGTGCTAGCACACCCCTGGGCTGACGTAGCTGTTCTGCGCAGATGAAGCCCAGTCCCGAGCGCCCCGAGAACTGGGCCTGCGCAATGTCCCGCCGCTCGTGCAACCATCAGTCAGGTGTGGCGGCCAAGGGGAGGACGGAGGCGGACCGCGCGCTAGGCGGAGTCTGCGCACTTCGGCTCTTTTAGGGCGAGGTGGGCGGGGTGGAGCGAGTGAGGTTGGCGGATCCGGCCAATGAGCGCAGAGATCCTGCGGGGGCGGGCCCCGGCTGTCGGGCGACGGGTCGCAGTTGGCCAGACGGCAGCGAGGGCGGGCTCGGTGTGTGCAGCTCCGCCCATTCCGGGCAGCGACTGGGCTGGAGGGCGGTGCCCGGGCGGCGGTGGCGGGCGCAGCTCCTCAGGTAAACCGCGGGCGGGGTCGTGCCTTTAGTGGTGCTGGGGAGGCGCCCGTTGGAGAGCCTGGGCTAGAGAGCTTGAGGGATGCCCCCTTGGATGGGCCGTGCGGGAAGCTGAGCCAGAGGGCGCCTACCCAAGGTCACCGGGAGAGCACGGGGAGGGTCCTGGGCGTCTCGGGGACCAAGGCCAGCCCCATTCCCCCGGCTCAGGTGTGCTCAGCGCCCCTGGGAAGCCGACTCTGCAGCTTCACAACCCGGAAGAGAGACCCGGGAGCTTTGTGACTGACATTCCTCCTCGGCGTCGGCGCGTGGTTCCCGGTTCCCGTGCCTGCCCCTCCCCGGGAGCAAGGCAGTAGTCTCCGTGCCTGCCTCTGCCCTGGGAACCTGGGGGTCGGCGTACCTTATCCCCTCGGCGGAACCACCGAAGGTCCTCTCCCTGGAAAGCTAAGCCTAAACCCCGAGTGTCCCAAAGCCGGTGCGCACCGGGCCTCTGTATTCCTTTCGTATTTTCTTTGACGATTAAAGGAGGCGATCCAGAGCAGGAAGGTGATTTGTCCAAAGTCACGAGGACTATTGGTCATAGAATGTAGGTCATAAAGCTGCAAGAGGCGGAGGGAGTCAGCCCTCAGTCAAGGTGAGACCCAGGTGGTGCTGAGCTGGAGCCGGCGCGTCGATTTTGGTTCCGATTTTCTTGCAGCGTCAGCGCAGCTGCAGTGCACTGTTAGGGTCGGAGGAGACTGTTATCTGGGCATAGGTGGCTCCGTTCTACCCACACTCTACAGAGGTTCCCCTTTGCCAGTTTAGGTGGGAGTGGGACAGATCATAACCCCAAGTGCAGTGAGGTAAGCACCAAGGGGTATGGGACAAGAGCAGAGGGGACTGGAGTGGGGAGTGGGAGGAGTGACTGAGCCTTGGGAAGTGAGTAAGCTGCAGCAACTATTGAGTTTGGAGCCAGCCACACTGGGGTGGAGGCTGGCTTTGAGTGGACAGTCTTGGACTCAGGGCCACTTTGGAAGGAGATGGTGGTAAATGAGTTGATTTTGGGGCATGGGAAGGGAACAGAGGTTGGTGACGCTGGTTTCTGACCCAAATAGCCAAGTGCTTGATGAT